TGAGAACCTTACTATTTTTCCATATGTGTAGTGCAAGTGTAATCCAAATCACCTTTAAAAAATCTTCCATGAAAGTGTCCTTTTCCTTCGACAAATAGCTCTTGTGTGCTTTGCCATAATCTAAATAATCCAAAGTGTGTACAACAAGTTGAATACATAAGTAGGATTTTGCACCTTTTCAACATGTATAAGAAAATTAATTGCTTTTGTAAAGGTATTTCTTCCCAGAGTATAAAGCCACTGAATGCTGGTAGTTTGTCCTGGGTTTGGTCCCAGGTGAACATCCTGACTGCGTGATTGGTTTTCATGGTCTTCTCCATGTGCAACTGAATAGGAGCCGGTTCCCTTAGAAAGTCCTCCATGAAGGCATACTTCCTGTTAAACAAATAATCTTCATGAACTTGACCATATACCAATAACCATAATTCACAGTAAGCAGCTTAGTTGTATGTGTGTTTTTGATTGAATGAGCAAATATCTAATGCTGCGTGAATGAAATTTTGTAAAATCCAAACATGATTATCATACCAGCCAGTCATATTCAGGAAATTTTCTGGAAAATATCTACTACTTGAAATTTAAATAAACATTGTGAGTACATAACATTAAAATTTGTTGTTGATATCATTGCTTTGTATAAGTGTTTAGCATAGCATATAAAGCATCACTTGAAAAAAAAGTTTCCAAACATGGTAAATTCACAATTTAGTTGTTTATTATTGCTATTATTAGTTTCAAGTAGAAGAAAATGCAAACTAATGAATGTCATAGTTCATTAGCTCTGCTCAGATTTGGCTAGTGTTCATATGGAATACTGGATTGAAATGTTGTTGGTTTTAATTAACAAATTAAAATATTTTATTCTGGAATGAAAATGTGTTCGAAATAATGCAGAAATTTGTGCGTGTGTATATATATATATATGATTTTCATGCATCTTCACATTAGTGGCCAAGTGATTAAGACTGCTGAATGCTAGTATTTAGATCGAAGTTCAAACTCAGGTGAATGGGCTGGCAGCATGAATTTTTTTTGTGGTTTTTTCCTGTGTAATGTGATTGCAAGCTGCCCTTAGAGTTCCACAAAATTTCCCTTCCCCTTAGGTTCCTTAAGCATTGTGTATTTTGTTGTATCTAAATATTCAAATTGCAAAATTAATTCGCAAAAAATTTTCATAGCTCGAATGTGATTTTTTAAAATCATAAATGTGAATATCATTGTGGTAAAAAAATTTTTTTTGAATTTCTCTTAAGTTTTTGATTTCAACTGAAATCATTAACTGTTTTAATTTTTTAATTACTGGAATATTTTCTGTGCTTACATGGAAAATCTCCATATGCTTAAGACTGAAAAATTAAATATGCATTAAAATAAATGGTCAGAAATTATGTTGATAGTTTAAGGTATTTAAAAGTATATATTAACTGCCATATGGAGGTATATTGTATTCGTGTATGCTGTGTAAGTAATTGACAAAAACTTAATTTTAAAAATATTTGAAAACACATTTAACCCAGCTTTTCACAACTACTTCAGGCTGTATCTGATATCCACTGAAGGTACTAGCTAGTGTTTACATCCGAGGTGTTATAAATGCACTGCATTGGCTAACAGTAGTACTCTGCAAATAAGGTACCTTGCATTTAACTAGTGCAGAAAAAAAAAAAAAAAAAATTGGTACTTAACCTAGTTTGCCATTGATCTTTTTCACAATGTCACCAAATAGTGCAGTTTATCTCCTTTAACAGATAAACCTGACATTAAAACACCTCTTAGGAACTTTGGTTTAGTTTTATGCAGTTCTGATCTCCAGTAAGCCAAGTCATGTTTTGCAAGGAACTGATAAGTTAATCACTGCTTGTTTAGCATTTGAGGGGGAAAGAAATTAGTATTTTTTCTACAGTATGGCAAGCAGTGGAATATTTTCAGAGTTGTGGGACTGGTTATACTGATGTGCAAACACAAAACATTAAAAAACTGTGGAGCTAGTCAAAATGGTGCAATAACAGAATACCATGACATCACTTAGATTCATATTTAAATGAATTTATGTGATGTTGAATTTGTAAAGAAGGTTAGAGTTTTGTTATATTTCATTCCATTAGGGATTTTTGATTTCCAAGATGATTGGCACTAGTTTTAATGAATTTCTTAGTCGGGTAATCTCAGAGTCCAAGCATGTAATTATTTAAGTTTTAATATGCCATATTTGTAACTTGTATCTGTTGATTATCTAATTAAATTAAGAATGTTCTGTGATTATCTAACTAAAGAGCAATCTGTGCCTTCAAACTTTCGCCATAAGTGTTGGTGCAGTTTTGGCATGATTTCTTCCAGCTTTCATGGTCAGTGAGAAAATACATTAAGTACCAAAAGTTCTTGACACAAGTAAAGTGTATTTTGTCTTTTTGTGGAGCATCAAAGTTGACTAATTAGTAAACTGTAACATTGCATACAGGGGAAATGTGAACCAGGTGGGTAAACTCTTGCATCCAGATCTTTAATTTCACCTGTTTGTTCAAACATTAATAAGTATTTTAGGTTTTGTCACCTTAAAGATAAGCATAAAAAATCTTTAAAAAATAACAGTTGGTAACCAACATTGATTCAGAAAGTTGAGCTGAAATTGAATCGTATCTAAGCACAATGCATCAAAGAAAAATATGATTATAAATGTATTGATGTGAATCTCAAGAAATGTGATGCTAACATTCTAAGAGCTAATTCATCAAATTCATTAGTGGCACACTGATGCTAAGTCATTCATCACTGCAAAAGGATTAATTGCTTCTAATGTTTCATTAACGTTTAATATAAAAATTCTTTAAAAGCGGATGAGACAATTTAAAATGGCAAAATCTGTAAGTCATAAATGGCTCTCCTAAAAATATGTATATCTTTATTATGTGCAGTTTAAATAAAGTTTTTTAACTGTTTTATTTGAATGTGAGAGTAAATGGTTTAGGTAAAAATATCTGTGCTCCTTTTTGTTTTAGAAAAGTATTTGTACGTAGCGCAATGATGAATAATGGAACCAGATAATATAATTATTTCATAAAGAATTAAATGGCCTATTAGTAGCTGAGCTCTTAAAGCTGCAGAACACTGGTATTTCATTCCAACTTCCATTTCTGTTGTGTAAATGAGCTATTAGAAGTTCATATTAGCAAAATGAGTCAGTTTTTAGTCTTTCATGAAGGCTTATCCAGATAACCCCCATATGCTCTGTCTCAAGTAATGTATAAACAAAAAGCAATCTGATTATTAATTTTAATTTGTAATGGATGGAAGGCTTTTGATTATGTGGCACTAAATACCATGTATTAATAACATGGCAAAGAAAGTTTTCTTTTCATATAGGCATTTTCTACTTAAAAGTCTAGCATTTTATTTGCATCTTTTTACAGAATGTTAAAGACATTTTCAACTAATCAGTACCTTTTCTATACATAGGGTGTTTTTTTTTTTTTTTAATTATTTAAGAAACACAGCCTGATGGCCTTCTTTCTAAGCATTGCTCATCCTTAAATGAGATCCTGAATGTAATTAGAATTTAGTAATAATAATTTATTTTCTTTGTAAAGAATCTGTACATTTTGTCACAAGAACTAGAGTTAAATGTTTACCCCTTCAAACATCTTGAATTTTTAGAAAATATTGACATTTTTTGCATCTTCTTTCGATTCTGTGTGTGAATGTAAGGTGATTAGAATTAAGACATTTTGTTTACCTTTTCATGATATGTGGTTAGTTCCATATTGGCCTTCTTCCCCTTATAACACTTTTGGGGAGTAGAAGCGTTATGCTTAATACTAGAATGGTGTGACTTCACTATACCTGAGAAAAATTACCAGTTGTGTTACACCAGTAATTAAATCTTTTTTTTTTCTTACGGTATGCTATAAATTTTTCATTTTTAATTTCATGTGATGTTCTCTGTATTAACTAAAAATGATTATTTAATAGAAAATTTATTAAATCATTAATTTTAACCTGAAGAATTGAGAGGTGACTATGGTATTACACAAGCAATTTTTTAAAATTATTTACTCAGAAACATTTCACTTGTTTTGGCAAATAATTGTTTCCATATTGGGTAAAACCATATCTGTTACTAATTTTGTAACTATCACCATTAAACTGTTAATTAATATTATTGTGAATTTTGCACTGACTTATTATATCATAATGAAAAGATTGTATTAATTGAACTTTTGGCTATATGATGGCCATATATAAGAAGGTGTATTTTATATCTACAAAATCTTTTCTTTTAGTGTTAAAATTCAGTTCGTAAAATTTTCATGTTTGAGAAACCTTTTGAAAGTGCATGCCTAGAATCAATGTTAAAGCAAATAAAGTCAGCAACCACTATTTTTAAAACCTCTTGCATAATTATTTTCAGTTTGCATATGTTTTGTTAGTTTGTATTTTAGTTTTTTAAAATTGGTTAAAATCAAATTTCCATAAAAATAAGAATGAATTCCTGTCTAGTATTGCCTTTGCTTAGTAACAAAATCACCATATTCATTACATTTGGATAATTCTGGAAGTTATTGAGAGAAATAATTGTTGACTGATCGACTGAGGCAAAGCATTATGAGGACTGGCTGTCTAAAGGAAGGGATACATTCATAGAGGCCTTTTTAAGGGAAATTGGCTCATATTCACTTTGTGGAGCAAAAACAACCATCTGACAAGCCTTTTTGGTGTGAGTGAAACCAGGTTTGAGCTACCAGTGTTTAACAGTCTTAAGTCGCTGATCACCGATAGTCCAGTAGATACGTTTTTTTGTTTTTGTTGTTGCTTTGTTTTTCCTTGATCTGTGTTAATTTACATTGAGATATTAAAAGCAGTTTAAGTAACTATCCTTTGACTTCGGTAGTAATGGTGGCAAGAGACTTGCTTCATTTCAACTTTTAAATTTTATAAATTACGTGATATATATTGTCATTGTTTTGTTATTTCATATTATATTAATTAAAGCTTTGAATTTTCAGAAAAGGGAAAATTTCTTGCTCTTGACTTGGGAGGGACCAATTTCCGTGTTTTATGCATTGATTTGGATGGAGACCAATGTAACATGGTAAATGAAATATACGAAATTCCTGAATACATAATGCTTGGCTCAGGTGAGCAAGTAAGTTGAGAATTTTTTTCATAGAAAAAAATTAAAATATTTCTAGTGCTTATGTATGTTTTCCAGACTTGTATATAGGTTTAATCAAACATTTTGTTCATTGTATCTTCCGTAGGAAACTGTTAAATATTAATAATGTATGACATGGTGTAAGAGCAAATATTTAAGTTTTAGAATCTGGCAGTGCAGTATAAAGTCTGAAATCATCTAGATGTCCAATCCTGACCACCAGCAATTTTTTTTTTTTTTTAAATATTTCCAGAAAAGGAAAAATGCATGTTCAGTAGACATTTTTTCATAATAAAGCATGTGCAGAGTCCTGATTTGTAATTTTACTTCAGCACTAAATAAAACACCTCCATGTTGAACAAATGTAATAATTTAATAGCATGACTATGTAGGATCAGTAATTTGGCTCTGTAGCCACTTTATTACTCAGCATACATCTTATTTTTTGCTTTCATCACCACATAATTGTTAACTGACGGTGGCTTAAGAAATGACTCATGCAGTGATATCTGAAGCTATCTTTTATGCTGACATTACACATGGTGATGATTACAAATTTAAGCCAAATGCATTGCAAAATGTTAAGTGTGTAGACAAGGAGAAATTTAACAGAAATTTCTTGGAATAGACTTTTTTAAATTACATTCTAAGGTTGTTTAGTACTGTTTGAATTAAGAATAACATTTATTGTAATGATAAGCCTTAATTATCACCTGCTGCATAATGTGTGTGTTTACTATAAAAGAACCATCTTAGTATATGTCGAAATTTATTTCATCAGGACTTGGATAAAACTTAAGCATATGGGGGAAATAGACATAAATGTAATAAATAACAAAACTAATATAGTTCAGGTTTAATTTTCTCAGCATGTGATAGAAGCAAGACAAATTTTGGCAGAACAACATGCTCTTAGTTGCCAAACATGTATGGTGGATGCTCGCTAAGCTTCATCATGACAGCAATAAATATGAATGCTTTTGGATATCAAAAATAAAATGCAGAATTTTCCAATTAATAGAATTTTTTAAGAAATGTAGGAAAGTGGTAATAAATAAAATGATATACCAGAAGTATTCTATTAGGATGACAATTGCTCAGTATTCGGTCAACAGACTTTGAATTTAGTGGTAAGCAGTCACAGTAAAAACCGTTCTGAAAAATTCTGTCATTGGCTTCAAATGTAGTTAGTTTCCCTGCCTGACACTGAATTTGTTCCCTCTGTGAAGTAGGAAACCTGTTGTATTAAACAGCTAACAGCACCCAAATATCTTGTGAAACCTTTCAAGTATCCAAAGAAGAGAGGGACAGTTCTGTTTTTCAAAGAATTCCTTGGAGTTATGTCATTTGTAATGCTCATTCCTAATGGTCTCTTTGATGGGAAGAAGGAAAATATGCTTTTCCAGTGAAAACTAGTGATATTTACTGTTACTGCTAGAACGAATCAAATGTTAAGCATTTGAGGACGCTGTATATACTCAAGCAAATCACTACATGGTGGCTTTCACATCTTAAGGTAACTCAGGAAAATTAGGGAGATGATTATAACAACTTAAATTGGAAGAAATGTTAAACAAAGCAAACAAATAAATATTGAACTTTTTTTTAATTTTTGATTCTGTTCAGGTCAAAAACCCTTCATTATTTCATAACTATTTCAGATTTTTAATTTTATAATTTCTACACCATCTTACTGCATTTAAATTGGTGATCTAAAAACTGAAAATTTCCCAAATCTGGAATTGCTGAAGTCCAGATCTTGGACTTTGTTTTGTATCACAAATGGCAGTTTTTGATACATATGATTTTTTTTATTTGAACGTTCTTGTGAAAATTGGTTGTTGGAGAAGTTATATAAATTTCTTTTTACAATATCTTCTTGATGCTAATATGGTAGTGGCAAAACAGGGATTTTTTTTTTAACTTGTATATTATATTTGTCATATTAGGACTTTTGACAAGTTTTGATCCAGCAGCAATGTGTTGGTCAATGCATTAAACTTTTGGTAATGAAGCAGCATCTAAAGTAACAGTTTACAACTCTTTTAAAGAATTCATTTGAGGGCATTGGTGTCTGCATGATGAATTTCATGAAGATTGACAAAAAATTGCAGTGACAGCAAAAATTTCTTGTTAAACTACGAACTCAAATGTAATTTTTGGAGTAACTTTTTCTATGCATTAATCATTTACAGTACCTAGTTATGTAATACTACAGTATGTTATTAATGTTGTCATTAAAAACTCTGCAGTACTACATTATTGTACTGCACTGTAACTTGAAAAAAACAAAATGCACTCGCTGATCACAAACTTCTCGGCCAACATTACTCGTGGCTTCTGTAAAACTAGAGGTTAATTTGGATGTTGCGGCAAAACTTCTATAGTGACTAAGGCATGCAGCATTTCCTGATGGGTGGGTGGAATGGTACTCTTCCTCACTTTCTTCTGATATTTGTTACAACTCTGGCACAACTGCTTTTAACGCGGCAAGAATGCAACGTCGTCATCTGCACTAACAGACTCGCCAAACTTCATCATTGACACAGTGGTTGTAATCATTGAACAACCTTACTCATGCTGGATATATTTTAAAGAATACAGTGTATTTTGTAAGGTTTTCAATTAAGGGAATGGAAAATTTCTGAACACAGTTCAAGCAGAGAAGCAACAGGAAAACACTATAAAAAACTGCAAAAGTTCATAGTTCATGTTAAATGATAAAATCTGACGATGCAAAGAACTAAAAATGATTGCAATTTGAGCGAACCGAAATTTGCATTAACTGATGAAACTTCTACAAGACAATATATATCATTGCCGGGACCGAAATTTTGTTTATGTTAATCAAGCATTTATCTTAAGTGAGTTCATGTTAAGTGATGTTTCATGTTAAGTGATGATGAACTAAAAGTTCATAGTTCATGTTAAATGATAAAATCTGACGATGCAAAGAACTAAAAATGATTGCAATTTGAGCGAACCGAAATTTGCATTAACTGATGAAACTTCTACAAGACAATATATATCATTGCCGGGACCGAAATTTTGTTTATGTTAATCAAGCATTTATCTTAAGTGAGTTCATGTTAAGTGATGTTTACTGTAGTATATATTAGGTGAAAACTGGAATTTTTATGAATGGTCAGATTTCTGTTAAATGCACTACCAGAATATATGTGTAAACATGATTATAATACCAAAGAAGAGTTTGTGCCTAAATTATCCCAAAGCATTCCAGAAGTATTTTCTAAACCTAATTTATGAAGTGCTTCCATTTCAATGCTGAATTATCTTTTATTTAAATGCTATCAGGTAGCCAAGAAGTTGATTTATGTCTGTGTATAAATTTTGGTATTAACAATTGAGTTCTGAGGATCAGAAAAGCTAAAATGACATTATAACCAATTTGTGCTTTTTCACTTGGTAAATATTCTAGGATCAAAAACAAATCTGATTAAAAGCATTGTTAAATTTATGGCACAACACATATATTCATGTAAATTATGTATAAAAAATTAGTATCTTAAACTAAATTTATTAATAGTAGAAAGTAGTATTCATTTATGTATTTAGATATTTAGAATATTAACACATTTTTTACTTATTTTACAAATTTGCACCATTAGGTTGCTTGAAGGTATAGAAATTGTGTATTGCCACCATGTGGACTTATAAAATGATAGTAACAAAGTTAAAATGTAAATGAAGCCCCAGCAGCAATCCAGAGGGATTGATATTATTTGATGGACTGAGTCAGGATAATTACTAAAATTGTTGAAATTAGAAGCGGGAAGCCATAGCATATCTTTGTAGAAATCTAAAATATGTTATAAAGTGATAATGTATTGCTTGATGTTATATACTTGTTTATATTCAAGACTGTCGTTATGCAAATAGAGGATGTGGTCTTTTGAATCTTTGTTTTCATTCAGAAATAAGTCTGGTAAATACAACTGAAATTCTTCTTAAAGCACTGGACCCTTGCATACTTATGTTCCAAAATATATAGATTCTAAAAATAAATAATTATTATGCTTTTACTACTTCTTTTAATTGTCAAATAAAAATTATTTTTAGCATTGCAGGTTCACATGCAGCATGAAAAAAATATATACATGCATAAAGTGCAGTGGACTTGAATTTAATCTAATTGAATGGAATTTAATAATGCATCTAAATAAAATTAAGGTTAATTCTATTTAAAAGATAATTTTTTATGATAGCTTAACATATATTGTATTGATGATTTCAAATTTTGCATGCTTGTAAAAGAGCATACAAAATATAAATAAGAAGGAGTAATAAAAATAAATAAAGAGATATATGAAGCTTCAATAAGGTAAAACTGTTTAAAACTTTAAAAAATACAGTAAGTGATGTTTAAGAAAATGCATTGAGTTAATGTTATGGCGTGCTCTTTTCTGTTGATAAAAATTTTTTGTTGTTTGTTAGGACCTCATCCAGTCAAGAAATGAGTGCAAGAATATTTAATCCCTTTTTTAAAAGAAATGTTTACTTGAAATCCATTCTTAATGAAGCATGTATATTTTCTGTTTGCTTGAAGCTAATTTTATTAATGTTAATATTTTATTTATTGATTGATTATTTGTATTAACTTCAAATGCAGCTATTGAATAATCCTATTTTTATTGCAGTTGTTTGACCATATTGCTGATTGCCTGGGACATTACTTGGTAACACTTGGTTTAACCCACAGAACTTTACCTCTTGGATTCACATTTAGTTTTCCTTGTGTACAGAAAGGTTTAACAAGTGCCTTTCTTGTTGGCTGGACTAAAGGATTTAACTGCTCTGGTGTTCAGGGAGAAGATGTAGTTCAGTTACTCCGTCAAGCAGTTAAACGAAAAGGAGTAAGGCTGGTTCTTTAGCATATTAAAATAATTGTGCTTTGAGTTTTAACATTATCTGTGCATGCTTGTATTTGGAACAATTTATACTTAAGTTTTAGAGAAAGTAATATATTATGTATTCACCAGATACCTTTTTAAAGAGTTTTAATATTTTGAGAGCTATTTAAGTATTTTGAGGAGGATATAAAATATGTGGAACTAGGTGACTGCATTTTAAATTTTGTGCTACAATTGCATTTATCGGGCACAGATAATGTAAAGCATTCTATTCCAAGTGTATGTTTAGCACTCAATTAGTTTGTCAGTATCTAACATTTGTGTATCAGTATCTAACATTACCACAAAATTTTATTTCTAAATATATAAAACTAGAAAACATTAAAACATTAATATCACACTTAAACATTTTAATGGAATAAGATTTAACATCTCCCGGATTAACATTTCTGACTCAGTAACTGGTAACTATTTTACCTGCATCATCAGGTCAAAGCACACTTCAGAGACAAAATGCTTCAGTAATGTTCCATAAGAATTGAAGTGTTCTATATACTAATTCAGACATAACCGCATTTTGCGTTTTTACAGCTGAGGATGGTGGTTCGGTAAAACCATCGAAACTAGTCCTGTGAAAATTTTGTAAATATAACGCTGATTTTTGTTGTTTGACTTCTGAATTAGTATTTATGCGGCGTGTTATTGTGTCTTAATTATGTTCTATATAATCATTAAACAGTTTTTGCAATGAAATTTCATTATTGATTCCACAGCCATAAAGAGCTGCTGTTTGGAAGATGTAAATAATGATGGTCACTAAAATGAATAAAGACTGTTTTAAAACATTTTAATTATCATTATCTTTATGTAAATTGTCATATTTCAAAAATCCTATTTAAATTTTATGAGCCAAAGCAGTGGATTTATCAACCACATTAGAATGTTGTAAAGCAGGAGTTCGGGGATTGTTTTTAATGTGTGTGCATTTGCTAAAAGGATGCTGTAATGAATAGAAATACTATTTTTGTATTCTTTGAGGGAGTATAAAACTAGAAACAAAAAACATATTTTAATATTAAGATTGTTTTGTTATCAGATAAATTTGCATAATTTTTAGAGATTTACTAATCATTAATTTTCCTCTCAATGTGTAGAAGAGCATAGATGTTGTGGCAATTGTAAATGATACTACTGGTACCTTGATGTCATGCGCACACAAAAATAGAGATTGTCGAGTTGGATTGATTGTTGGTGAGTTCAGTGCTATGCTGTCTGTATTGTGTTCATCTGTATATTTTTTCTTTATTGTTTAAGTGCTCAAATCATTATATTTTTTAAATTTCTTTTTTTCTGTTATTTTGCATGTGGTATTTAAATTTGTTTGCTTTGACTTTTTTATTCCATCTCTATTTTTTTTTTTAAAGGAACCGGTACAAATGCTTGCTATATGGAAAATTTGGATAATGTGGAGACGTGGCCAGTTAATCGGGATGAACCTAATCAAGTCATAATTAATACAGAGTGGGGTGCATTTGGTGATAATGGTTGCTTGGACTTCCTGAGAACTGAATTTGATCATCAAGTTGATGAAAATTCATTAAATAAAGGAAAACAATTGTAAGTTATTGATTTTGAATATATTATCATACTTTCATCTAAAATTTTGGAATGGTTCATTTCTTTCTAAAAGTGGCTTTAACTTTTATGTTTAATGTGGAAAAGGATTTCGTTTCTGTTACTTAACTCTACTGTTAATTGTGAATCTCTTATATTTAATCATAAATTTAATAATTTAACTGTATTTAAAGATTGTAACTAGTTTGAAGAATACTAAAATTTATTTTGGAAGCTAGTATTTGTGTATATGTATAATAAATTTACCTTGCTTTTTTACCTAAGGATAGGAAAATACCTTTTTTGGCGTTTTCAAAATTTTTGTAAGCTTTTTTTGCATAATTTTCCATACTTTCAAAGTTTTAATAATCGCCTGTAGTAACGGCAACCGCCGGCAATAAAAGGAGGTGCTTTCCTTAGTGGCACCGCAGTTCCTTTTAGTTCGAGCCAGAATAGACCTGCCCGGGTATAAGCCAGGGGATGAGAGATTCCGGTTCCCGTCTTGTTCCAGTCCTGTTCCGGTCCTGATCCAGTCCTATTCCAGTTCCAGCCTGGCCGTTTAAGTCCAAAACACGTAGGAGCGGATGTCTGAATTCAGCGAATGGAGATATACGCCGAAAGGGCTAGATGGATTCTGTCTTTTAAAGGGAAAGTGTTCTTCTTCACCGTGCCGGCATAGCTGTTACTTTAAAGCACTTTGAATGTTTTCCACCCAAGATGTTAAGTTTTTCGTTTATGATGTTAAGTTTTCATCAGTGTTGAAGTTCCAGTTAAATAAACCTTTAAGTTTTAGACAAGGTTTTTGTGTTCTTCAGAAAATTTTAGATTCGAAGTCAGATATAGCACATAGGATTTATTATCGGAAAAATCAACATTTGGCATCAAGCGACAGGATATTGTCTGCAAGGTAAGCGACTTTTTTTTTATTTTTGAATCATGGAAGCTTTAAAGTTAGCAACGAACTCAATATAGAAGACTATTCAGTAAAGCTTGTAATGAATTTGACAATGAAGAAACTAAATTTAATCAGGAAGAAAAATTAATTAAAATAAAAGTTATTGCCGAGAAAGCTAAAGTTTTGTTTGATACTGAAATGAAAATACGAGAATTAATGTTTAAAGAAATTACAGATGAGACTTTACTTATTAAGGAAATAGATGAATCTGAATTATATTTTGATAGGTGGAGACTTCTGGAAAGTAAAGTAAAAGATCTTACTTCTGGAACCCCGAATGTAACTTTAATTGATCCGTCCTTTGTTCAGAATAAAATGTTACATTATCCGAAGATTAAATTGCCTATCTTTGACGGCAACGTGAAGAAATGGCTAGGATTTTGGGGGCAATTCCAAAAGATTGATAAAGATCCTACATTAGATAATAATGATAAATTTGCTTATTTAGCACAGGCTATGGAGAAGAATTCTCCTGCAGAGGAAATAGTTAAAAGCTTTCCGCCAACTGGCGATAGTTACAAGAGCGCAATCGAAGCATTGCAGACGCGTTTTGGTAACAAAGAATTACTAACGGAGATTTATATTCGTGATTTGCTAACCCTTGTTATTCAAAAACAAGGTACACACACTCTTTGCGGAAACTATACGATGAACTCGAATCTAATCTAAGAGCCTTGGAGATATTGGGAATAAATAGAGGCAAATATTGCGCGATATTATATCCATTGGTAGAATCAGCATTGCCGAATGAAGTCTTAAAAACGTGGGAGAGACTTAGGTTTTCGCGTAAAGGATCAGAAAGTTTAACCGGCGAAAACGCCGAGTTAAGAGAAAGGGAATCTGACCTTGAGCGCCTTTTATGTTTCTTGCGCGGTGAAGTTGAAAGTGAGGAAAGAATTTCTTTAGCAGCTAAATCTTTCAATGTTTTTCGATCGATTGGCTCACGGTAATAAGAAAGGGAATTCGGGTTTAAAGATAAGAGAACCTCACTTAAAACCTACGGCAGCTGAACTGTTTACTTCTTCTAATGAAGCTAGAAAAGGCTGCATATTTTGTTCCAGTATAAATCATGGTTCTGCGGAATGTTTTCAGGCGCGTAACTTATCGTTGTCAGAAAGAGAAGTTTTGGTCCAAAGGACACGCTCTTGTTATCTGTGTCTGAAATCTGGACATTCTGTCAGGAGGTGTAGATTAAAAACAGTTTGTTTTACATGCGGCAAAAGGCATCATATTTTTCTATGTAAGGGCCATTCACAAATGAGTGAGACAAGGGCAACGGAACAGCCTCCAAATCAGGCTGAAACACTCGCCAACATTTCTTCAAGGTCTCCTAAAGTTTTGCTGCAAACAATAAGAGTAATAATTAAAGGAGATAAAAAATCTCGTTCGGCTCGAGCTATAATTGATACTGGTTCTCAAAGGTCATATATTCTGCAAAGCGCAGCTCAAGATATGGGTTACAGGTATACGGTAAAGGAATACCTTAGCCACGCATTATTTGGCGGTACAACGACCAGTTTGTGTGAACATAAAGTTTACAAAATTCATTTATCTAATATGTCTGGCTCGTACAGTTGTAATTTTGATGCGTTAAGTCAGCCTGTTATTTGTAATAGTATACCTTCTATTGGACAAGGAATATGGCTTAAAGAGCTTGCTGACTGTGGAATAAGTTTAACAGATCGTTTAGAAGGACCTATAGAAATTTTAATAGGAGCCGATGTTGCAGGACGATTATTAACGGGGAATCGTAAACAAATTTCAAACGGTCTTGTAGCTATTGAGACAAAGTTAGGATGGACGGTTATGGGAAAAACCGGGGAGTTGAATAGTGAAGGTTCAACATTCTTAAAGAGGCTTGTATTTCTGATTTATGGGCCCTCGACTCGCTTGGTATTACGGACCCATCCGAACAAAAGAGTAAATTGGAATTGTATGAGGCTACCAGGCAACATTTTCTTGATACTGTAAAAATAGAAGATGACCGCTTTGTAGTGTCTTTGCCTTGGTTGGAAGGGCACCCTCCCCTGTCGGATAATTTTGAGTTATCGCTTAAAAGGTTGCACGGTACGATTAGGCAACTTGAAATAGATAATCTTCGCCAAGAGTATGAAAATATATTCCAAGAATGGCTCAAAGAGGGCATAATAGAGGAAGTACCCGTAAATGAATTAGATTTACCCCATCATTATTTGCCACATAGACATGTTGTTAAGGAACATAGTACTACGAAGTTACGGCCAGTATTTGACGCTTCGTCTAAAGCAAAGGGTTCTCCGAGTCTCAACGATTGTCTTGAAAAGGGATTAAACCTTATTTGCATTTATTCCTACAATCTTAAATAGATTTCGCCAAGAAAAAATAGGGGTGATTTCTGATATTCGTAAGGCCTTTCTACAAATTGGCCTGAATTTCTAGTGACAGAAACTTCCTCCGATTTCTTTGGATAAAGGGTGAAGATGGCTTGAAGCATTTTCGTCATTGTCGAGTCGTATTTGGTGTAACCAGTAGTCCATTTTTACTTGGAGCTGTTATTCAATATCACTTAAATTCAATTTTGGAGAAAAATGATGCAGATGTAAAATATCCTTCCAACATTATTGTTAAATTAATGAATAGTTTCTATGTTGATAACTGTGTAACAAGTGTCGGAAGTGAAGATGAATTACAGCGCTTCATGAAAGTATCTTCAGATGTTATGGCAGAACGAAAATTTGAATTACGGGGTTGGGAATATACCGACTGTAGTTTAGAAACAGAAACTATTGCGAATGTATTAGGTTTGTTATGGGAAAGACAAGGCGATACTCTTCAAATAAATGTTGCTAATTTACAAAATCTTTGTTTCGAGAAAGTTACGAAAAGAAGTATTTTGGCAATAGCCCATAAAGTATTTGATCCCATCGGTATAACATGTCCAGTCCTTATATTACCTAAGATGTTATTACAGCGTACATGGGAAACAAAAGTAAAATGGGACGAAGAAGTTAACACCGAAATTAAAAGTAAATTTTTGAAATGGGTAAAAGAAAAGACTTTTTCTTTTGAAAAACATTAAAATTCCAAGGTGGATACGATATCAGCCAAAACAGTGTTCAATCCATGTTTTTTGTGACGCCAGTCAAGCAGCGTATGCGGCAGTAGTTTTTATTCGTGTAGAAGAACCTGAATCAGTTAAAGTCCAGTTGCTTCAGGCTAGGTCTAGAGTTTCCCCTTGTGGTAAAAAGGAAACGACTATTGTAAGATTAGAATTGTTAGCAGCAACTATTGCATCTCGTCTTGCTGCAGACGTTCTAAAAGACTTTGAGGCCAGAAGTACATTTTTCTGGACAGATTCAACTACTGTCCTTGCATGGATAAAAAGGGAAGAACAATGGGGGACATTTGTAGAAAATAGAGTACAGGAAATAAGGCTTTTGACACGATTGGAGGCATATACCTGGTCACCTTAACCCTGCAGATCTTCCAAGTAGAGGGTGTTCAGTTCGCCAACTCTCCCGGTCAAAATGGTGGGAGGGTCCGAGCTGGCTTTTAAAATCCCAAGAAAATTGGCCGAGTGCCGAATTTATAACTGATGAAGCGGAAATAGCCAGCGAGAAAAAAAAGGCAGTGGTTTCATCTCTAGTGTCTACTGAAAGGTTTAGTTTGAGTGAGCGATTTTCTAGCTATCGAAAAACAGTTAGAGTTGTTGGTTGGATTCAACGATTTTTCTTTAATTGCAGAAATAAGAAAAAAAAGGAAAGGTGAACTCACTGTTGATGAAATTGATTTTGCAGAAAAGGTTGTTATTCGCTTGATTCAATCGGAATCGTTTCAGGATATAGAGAAGACGCACGCTTACGAACTCTTAGTCCATTTTATGATGCGGGAATTCTAAGAATTAAAACTGGTGCGTTTCGAAGAGATGACACGTTAGAGTTTAGAACACCTATAATATTACCAGGAGAACATCCATTAGTTAGGAATTTAATTATGGAAGAACATAAAAAGAAAGGACATGCAGGTGTACAATATATACTGAATACCTTAAGGGAAAGGTTTTGGTTGTTATCTGGCAGAAGAACGGTGCGTTCTGTTTTGAGTAAATGCATTACTTGCAAGAGATATTCTGCTGCACCTGTTGACCACATATCAGCCCCACCGCCAATAGAGCGAGTAAATGATTCAGCAGTATTTCAAGTAACGGGTATAGACCTTTGTGGTCCTTTATTAAGAAACAAAGAAAAGGCATGGATTTGTGTTTTTATATGCGCCGTTTATAGAGCGGTCCATTTGGAGTTGCTGACTTCTCTATCTACAGAAGTGTTTCTTGAGGCTTTTCATCGGTTCGTGTCGCGAAGAGGTAAACCCACAACTGTGTACAGTGATAATGGAACTAATTTTGTAGGAGCTTCAAATGCATTCAAATTAATAGATTTTGAACAAATAAATCGGCTTGCAAGAGTAAAGACCCGAAATGGAATTTTGCTTAGAGCGGTTCGAACTCCGTATCCTTTAGAGGTAGCGCAAAATGATGTACCCGTGAAGCTGCAGAATGAAAAACAAGATTCGTTGTCTGAACTTAAACTCAACATAGATGATAAATCTCTCAGGCCTGTAACACGATCTGGTAGAACTGTAACTCCGCCGGACAGACTGGCATATTAAGGCTCTTTGGCATTGTTTTACTTTGATGTGAAAGTTCATTTTTTTTTTTTTTTTTCTTAGGTGGAAGGATGTTAAATATTTGCATAATCACCTGTAGTAATGGCAACCGCCGGCAATAAAAGGAGGTGCTTTCCTTAGTGGCACCGCAGTTCATTTTAGTTCGAGTCAGAATAGACCTGCCCGGGGAAGAAGCCAGGGAATGAGAGATTCCGGTTCCCGTCTTGTTCCAGTCCTGTTCCGGTCCTGATCCAGTCCTATTCCAGTTCCAGTCTGGCCGTTTAAGTCCAAAACACGTAGAAGCAGAAGTCTGAATCCAGTGAATGGAGATATATGCCGAAAGGGCTAGATGGATTTTGTCTTTTAAAAGAAAGTGTTTTTCACCGTGCCGGCATAGCTGTTACTTTAAAGCACTTTGAATGTTTTCCATCCAAGATGTTAAGTTTTCATCAGTGTTGAAGTTCCAGTTAAATAAACCTTTAAGTTTTAGACAAGGTTTTTGTGTTCTTCAGAAAGATTCGAAGTCAGATATATCACATAGGATTTAGTGGAAAAATCAACAGCTGTAAAGAGAGATTCATTGAATACTGGTTTGTTTTCTTAGTTCAAATCCCATAGAATAGATTGGTTGCATGGGCACTTGCTAAACCGTGTTCTGTTAAACAAATCATTTAGTTTTGATCTGATGTCAAATTTATGTACTTATCTATATGAATATATTATCAAATATATTATCAATTGTAGTAATATATAACCAGCACTTAATTTTGAAGCATGTTTTCCATAAATAATAAGAAAATAAGTTTTGGTTTGAGTAATATGGATAATATTTTTGCATAAGAATTTTAAGACATTGAAATTAAACAAAATGTATTTGGACACCTTTCTTCGTAATTTTAGCCATTCAATAGCTGTAAAGAGAGATTCATTGAATACTGGTTTGTTTTCTTAGTTCAAATCCCATAGAATAGGTTGGTTGCATTGGCACTTGCTAAACCATGTTCTGTTAAACAAATCTTTTAGTTTTGATCTGATGTCGAATTTATGTACTTTTCTATATGAATATATTATCAAATGAAGTATGTTAAATAAGTACTAGTTTTAATCAATATGCAAGTATGATTTTGTTTATTCTTCCAACAGTATTAAAAGTATCTAATTAACCTTTATTGATTTGTGCAATCTTTTAAGCATTTTTATTTATCATACCTGCACAGCTTTAATTTTTTCTTATTTTAGGTATGAGAAAATGATATCGGGAATGTACATGGGAGAAATAGTTCGAAGAATTGTTGTTAAGCTTGCAAATGAAGGCTTAATGTTTAAAGGAAATTTATCAGAAAAATTCAACACTCCTTATGCTTTTAAAACCAAATATGTTTCAAACGTTGAAAGGTATGTTATTAAATTTTATAAAAAATACATAAATATTACTGTCTTTCATATGATAATTCTCTTTTTAAGTCTTCATTTTTATAATCCTGTAAAATTGATCAGAACTCTTCAGCTTTGGTATCCATCAGTTAAAAAAAAAATTGCTTACAATAAAAAGTATTTTTAAAGCTTGATTAATCTACACACAAAGTATTTCTGAAAAGGCTGTCGCTCGATTACTAAAGAGCCATAATTTAATTCAAACTCTGGAAGGGCTAAATTTTTTTTAACCAAAGAGATGAGCCAATATCGAATAAATGTGCTACCAAAACCAAATAGACATGATATTCAATTCTTATTCATGATATACAATTCATATTCATGATATATTCCTAGACATGGACTAGACTGGAGGATGGCGGGAAACCATGTCAGTTGAAGCCACACTTTAGAGATGCAACTTGATATTTGTAATATTTTAAAAGTAATAAACCAGTTTTTGAATAGAAGGAATATTTTATGTAGTTTATCAATCATATTATTTATAACTAATATGATTATTTAGTACAAAAGTAAATTATTTGTGTTGTTATTGGTCTGTGTTCAAGAAAATAATTTCCTATATTGCACAAATATTCAACTTTAGTACAGTAAACCCTTGCCAAACATGGGATTATGTCATTATTACATTGCGCATACGGCAAAAATATTGCTGCCCAAAGTTAACTTTTATGGAAAATAAGTGTTGTGTATAATTCAGATTAAAGTATATAATTTAAATAAACGTAAATGTTGTAATTAAAATGAAAAAATGAAACAAATGTTAATCAATGGTTTTTTATTGTTTAATTGATTAATAAGTACCTAATGCTTTTTATTTTTTAAAGCTGGCGATTTTTTTTTTTTTTTTTTTTTGCTTAGCACACAGACTGATAAACTCTTTAAAAGTTTCATGGTGAGGATTGCAATACTTTTCAATGCCTGTTATGAAGTGTTCTCTTCTTTCTTATTAGAATTAACATCTATAGCAAAATCAAACACTTCTTGTGTCTTTTTTTAATAATTCTTTCAATAAAATGTGCTTCATTCTTCAGTGCCATTGCTTTGATTGTTGACTGGTGTTATACAGTCATCCATTCCTTCATTTTTCATTTCTTTGACTTCTCCTTCCCGTTTACTGAAAATCCTTCACCGCCATTTGCTTTTCCAAATGGTAAATTTCTTCCATTTCGTTTTCAATCGAGGAACATTTATTGTTAATAGCTTCTGGCCAGAGCTGAACTAGCCAGCCTTAACTATTGAACAAATGTTGAATCATGTATGAATGGAATTCTAGCATGAGACAAATTAAGTGGAAACAAGATAATGCATATATGCGAAATGTCATTCTGCAAATCCATGCTTGACAAGAGTTTACAGTATGATTTCGTACTTATCATTCTCTTTTCAGACAGAAAATTAAACATGTTCTGATTTCCAAAAGAGAAATCTGATTTTGTCAATTCATTTTAATTGTAAACTCATTGAGTAAACTCAAAATGAAGACATAGCAGTCTTAAGAATAACAAGAAAAGCTTTTAATTGGAATGAAAAATAATGTAGAGGTTTGAAAAACTGAATTAACAATTTTTCTTAATTCTAAACTGAGATGCTAAAGAGTACTTGTGTGGAGATTGCAATTTGGTATATGAAAATTCCTACATTATCAACTTAGCAAATGCAATTTGGTATATGAAAATTCCTACATTATCAACTTAGCAAAGTTGTTGCATATAAAATAGTAAATAAACAAAAGCAATGAAGACAGCTTGCAGTTCTCCATAAGAAAGTTTTTAAAACAAATTGTCAGATTAGCAAAGATTTTGCATAAAAAAAAATAATTTTCATGCATAGGTAACTAGAAGACTAGTTAACTAACACTTCATCATTTTATTATCATCCTTTTTTTTTTTTTTTTTTTTTTCCTGGTGCAACTTTAGTAAAAAAGTCATAGTTTCATTTAGTAGCAGATTTGAGGTAGACACACAACATATAAACACATTATGTTGATAGTGTATCAGTCTTTTTTTGTAATTCTTTTTCCAATAATGTACAGTCACAGAAATGGTGCACAGTTTGAAATCGTTCAGTCATAACACTAATTTAAAAAGGTGAAATTGTTTATTTTTAAAATATCTTGTATAACACAATGTAGTATCTTCACTCTTCGACTGCTCAGTGACAGTCACTATATGATGAAGCATAACACTGTAATCCATAAAGAGGACCTTAGGACTTTCAAGGTCCTGGAAAAGATATACATAAGAAACCCACTTCGGTTCAGTACTGGTCACTGCCGACTGAGTCTGTTTAGAGGATGTGGAGTTTTATAAGCTATCGGTCATAGTGCTCCCATAAAGAAAATTATGCCACCTACAAACCAGAGCCTTTACATAATGATAGAGAGGTGAATGTGCATTTCCTATTCTCTCCAAATGTTTAGATGTTCAAAATCACTAGTGAAACTAAATACACACTTTACTATAGCCAGCACACACCTTACAGGTCATATAAAAAAAAAAGAGAGAGACACCTGAGTATAGTCTGATCATGGTCTAGCATGAAATCAGACATTTAGGTATGCAATATAAGTGTCTTGCAATTTCACTCATTGTTTACTGTCATCTTAGCTTGCTGTAGGGAAAGGTACTGATTTACCATCACTACAGTTGCTTGTGAACAGCCACCACTAAATTTTGGCCAGTTATTTCTGTCATTTGAAATACCATCCAAGGTTGTGACATGATGCTGTGTGCTATTGCTAATGCTTCAACCAAAACAGTCACGCTTTGAATGTCTTCTAGTTTCCCAGTGGTTTGAGCTCTGGTAAAGTTGTTAAGATGTGTCCCCTGGATTGTATGTTGAACATATTCTTAGGTGGCAACTCGGTGTCATTTAAATTGATGTGCACTGTACAGTAGCTACAATTGAAATGTTGGGCATATACCATCTTGGTGCTAAATACATGTTCTGGTATGTATGTGCAGGCCATACCATATCAGGCAGTAAGTAATGTGATTGTTATTTCACTGGGCTTTGTATGATCTTCTGCTGTCCATTGCTCCATTTCATCCTTAATTTCTGCATACCAGTTTATATTCTCATAAGAGAAAAATGACAATATTAAAAAATGACACTTTGACTATGCACTCGTGCATTATATTGATCTTTAGCAGTACCATGATAGTCAATTTTATCTGAAACATATTAAGTACAATGGGAAAAATCAATTTTGATGAGTATAATTTTAAAATCAAATCTGATTTTATCACTATTATGTAACATTTAAAATTTTTGTGTGTTGAATTTTGTAGAAAATTACATTTTTTCATGTCATCTCACAGAAAGGAAGTTATTAAAGAGTTCCATAAAAAATGCATTGGAATATTAAGTCATGTTTTTGCTTGGAAATGAAATTACCATTGTTTAGTGAGTTATCTGACCTGAAGGGTGTTTAATTGCTGAAAACTTGCAATTCTACCTGAGTTCAAACTTGGTGAATTAGGATAATTGGGGAAAGCATTTTGTAGTGTCTGTAAGTGCACTTGCAAATTTTACAATGGTTCTAGAGGAGTAATAGGGTTAATTAAGTTCAAGCCTGAAGAATGGTCTCATTTTCCATTTATGTGTATCTTCTAATTGATTTAGAAAAGTAGATATTGAAGCCCCAACTTACATATTTTTAATTATAGTGACCCAAGACACAAAAATACTGAAACAGAGATTGTCCTGAAAAAGATGGGTATTTCTGAAGCATCTGGTGAAGACTGTGATATTCTCAAACTTGTGTGTACAAGAGTATCGACCCGAGCAGCACACTTAGTTTCAGCTGGTAAGTACTGGAATTTCTTTCTAAAAAAAATTTTTGTTCAATTTATATTGTAAGTCATATTTTGTCTTTTCTGAATACAGTTCAACTTTTTGATGTTTTGACATATATTCAAACTCAGTACTGCATGATTTCAGCTTTTGATATCCTTTGCACTTTTTTATTGCTTACATTTGCATAACATACTGTTATATATTAATCACTTTGTATTCAATATTCTGAATAAGTGGTCAGATGGAAGAGACTGTGATCCTTTGTTCCAGTTTGAAAATCATGAAGAAAGTTGTTACAACTGTTCAACTGATGCAGTAAAAGTCTGGTAGTTTAGCATTCATTGATGCATGATGCCCAATAATCTGGCACTCTTCAATGACATTTCCGCATGAAGATGTTATTCGTAGCTCATTCAGAAAAACTTGGAACATGCACTGCAACTTTTTGTATTTTTGTATAAACTTTTGTTCGGAAGTATTAGTTCTTTATCTTAATTTATTTAATGTTTTGAAGCCATAATAAAAATGTTGATAAGGAAATGTGATGCAAGCATGGCAGTGTACCGGAATAATATTTAATCTAGCCTATGGATCAAGGAGATACTCAAATCTTTAACTACAGAAATTCATATGTGCAAAACTGATTAAATGTCAAAGACCTCCAAGCTCAGTTCAGTGTAAATATTGTTCTTTTTATGGCTCTTTCCCATTGCTTGGAAACCTGTAAGCAGCCCATTTAAAAACATTTGGCCAAAATTGTAGCTATGTTCCTTGAAGCAAAATTCTATTCAGAGAAGGGGAAATTGTTGATGATCTAGTGATCAAACATTCTAAGTTATAGGAAACAGTTGTCTTCCTTCAAACAATTCATTAATCACACTTTCAGAAAACAAAATTATTACATTGATATAAAGTAACAGAAATGAACCAATTGGAGAAGAGTGTCAGCATCACAATTGAAAGTACCTAACATCTGCAGTCAACAAAAGAAATGGAGAGTGATAAAGAATATTCATTCAAAATCATCTGACATGAATCTGGTGAAGCATTAAATATGTTTGTGTGAAATTCATTGAAAAAGTGAAGCATATTATATGCATTCTATGGAATGATTTTAAAAAAATTAATGTGTGAAGCAAGTGACATTTGAACTTTATTTGCAGAGACTTCATGCTTTAGCAGTATTGATCTCTTCAAAACAAAAAGCTGATTAAATATGATTAACTATGAATAAATTTATTTATTAATAAACTTTGCTCATTTAATTGGGCTTATGCTACTGTGTTCAATTTTTTTTAATTCCTCAAGGCATTCAATAAAGCAGAAAGAATTCGTTTACAACTTTATGGAATTTTAATATGATAATCCAGTATCTCTTAAGATTCAAATACGCTAGATCATCAAACTTTGCTGTACTGCAAAATTCCTTAAAACAGACATGAATGTCAGAGACTCAGTTCCAGAAGTATAGCATTTACTTGTTGTTGAAAACTCAGACCTCAAAAAGCATACTAAAATTGAACAACTGGTTTAGTGAACTAGGACTAAATACGTATGGACTGCTTCATACTGAATTTCTTGCTTGTGGCAGCAGCTTAACAATTAATCCGTATGTTTTCTATGATGGGCAAAAGAAGCTAAAATATTTTGGTGTAGCCAAGCTGGGCAAATGTTTTGCAAGCATTATCTTATATTCTGTTATTTATTTGAAGAATTCCAAAATTTAATCTGCATTAATTTGACATAGTAAAACTTAATAAACTATATAAGAATACAAAGGAAATAAAAAATGTTTATATGAATATGCAGCTTGCAAATCTCATTTTGGAAAGAACCTTACATATAAAAACATAGAATTAGGAAAGTCATTTGTAAAGTCTTTTCCCTTGTTTGGTATTTTGTGCCATTCCTTTTTTTTTCTGGGGAGGTAGGAAGATAATTTTAAAGAACATCTATGTGTATAAAATTTGCTTGTTAAAAGCGTTGTTAAAAGTTGTATTGACATGAGTACTCTCAATGAATACATTTAAACTGATATTTACTCTGAATAATTTTAATTTATATATATATATATTAAAACATGTTTTGCACAACTCTAGTCATAACTGAGCATGCTATATGAGCTCCAGTTACAAAATTTAAAATGATTTTTATTTTATCTATTATGTAAAAATGTTCTTGTATTTCAACTTGTTTCCTTCTATTAGCATTAAACTTTATTTTTAGTGTACTGACATAACAAGCACATAGATTTGCTTCTGTTTTCTGATGGGGTGCTCAAATTTTTTAGGTGTAGCCACAATATTGAATAAAATGAAGCGAACTCACACAACTGTTGGAGTTGATGGCTCTGTTTACCGATATCATCCTCATTTTAGGGAACTTATGGAAAGTAAAATTGATGAATTAACAGATCCTAATTATAAAGTAAGTCTTTCCCTCTTTTGTCATGACTTTATTGCCTGAATATGTATCTTGTCATGAGTTCTTCTTCACCTTTATCTCACTTTATATTTTGCACCTTTGTTATGTCTCTTACTTTGGTTATATTTTTTAAATAAACAATATTATAGTAAATGATGCGTAATATTATAGTTAGTAAACAATATATGGTATTATGGTTAGTGTGTAATTGCTCTCATTTTCTGAAAGAATGTAGTACATCTTTTTTTAATTGCTTTATATGGTGTGGTATTAGTGGCTGAAACCGCTATACAAAAAACCGATTGTAGTACAGGGTGAATTGAACTTCTAACTTAAGTTGTAACAATAACATGAATTTTTATAATATAAAAACATTAACAATTGCAATTCTTGACAGTGTGGGACTTTGATACGTTTAGTCCCGTAATTTAAAAACTTTGTTAACAGAAAACTGCTGTGTCACTATTAACATTGTACATGAGGAGACATAGTTGTAGCCGGCCAACATGCCTATAGCTCTAGCTGGAAAGGCCTGGCCCTTCTCAGAAAACCACCTTTCATATCTCACTGTGTCGTTACCTGCGCTGAACTCTCCAGGAGGGGGGGAGAATATTCCTTCATTGGTACATAACAAAGGTGTCCATCTCCTGACCCTTCTTCTCCTGACCTGAAAAGACTTCTTTTATCGCTTTGTCTCTTCGAGTGACCTTCGAGGCTGCGACCAGACTCATTAACAAAGGCACCTCATTGCATTTAACTTATGTACTGAAAAAAGTACTATTGCATTCTGAAATCATTCATCCTAGACAAAGAACCTCTGTGCGACCTATCACAGTGGTATATCAGTGTCTTGTATGTTTCCTGGTTGAAGGTATTAAATGATATTCTGCAAGGTGTTTTTTAAAGGCAACGTGTTCAATTTTGTGCCATTTGCACAGTTTGTTAATGTGAGATGATTTTTTTCTGCATTATTAGCACAGTTGTTTTACCTTTGTTGAAATTATTACAAGCTTTAAAGACAGAATTTCTAATTTAAATGCATCTAATGTAGAATAGCATTCACATTTCTTGTATGAGATTTTGCCATTCTGCACACAGTAATATGTAGTAGAGGTGATCGATTACTATGTCTATTTGAATCTTACCTAAGACATGTTTGCCACCAAGTGTCTTTGCATAGTGATGGCATTTAAACTGTCTATAAGGAAGCCTTCTTGAAAAACTGACGATAGAAGATATATAGTACTCTCAGATTTTCTAACATTTTTTTTAGCTTAATTCTAAGCCCTCTCACCTGCCCATGGCCAAAACAAGTGCCATTAAGTTTTAGAAATTTTTATTGGTATAGGTGTTTATAATATTAAAAAAGTTAATATTTGTGTAAAATAAATTGATTATCATCAAAGAAAATAGTAAAAGTAATTTAAAATGAAATATACCTGCACTTAAGCTTAAAATTTTATATAATGCCATGAAGACACCAAAATGTTCAGAAGAACCAGTTCTGTGCCTCATATTCTTTAAAGAGTTTCTAATTTCTCTTAGTATTATTGTCGCAAGATATAGATTCCTGAATGTCTCTTTAAGTTATCTCTCCGGATGAACAGAAGAATTTGTTAATTTATTGTAAATACTAATAATGCATAGTAAAATAAATAGCTATAATAACTCAAGAACACAAATATTGGGCAAATCCTCTATAGCACATAAGAAATATTGTGAACTGTTGTTACCCCTCACAAAGCTTAAAGTGCAATTCAGTTAATTTTCTTTGAAGTGCAGTCTCTCTGAAATCACTCAAAACTGATTAGCAGTTGACTGATTGTTGGCTGTCACAGCCATATTTATATGGTATTGACAGGCCTTCTGGAAGATTGCTTTTAAAGCTTCGAAAATATGTTCCCAAAGCTTCTAAAAAATCACCAGATTGAAGAGCAATTATGAAATGTTAAAAGAAGCCTATCAGGGAGGTTTTTGCCTGTATCCTAGGTTCTAGTTGAGCTGTTTCAACAATTTAAATGCTGTTGAATTCAGATCACAAAATCTTGCAGTTCAATACAAAAACAACCAAAAAAAAAAAAAAAAAACGCGAAAGTACTTACATACAAGAACAATATCAGAAGCCAGAAGTTGTTACCTTGAATGCAAAAAATAATTTAAAAAACATAATATTCTACACAAAAGCAACAATGCAGTCAAATGGGTGAAAATATTTACAATAATTAAATACATTTATGTTGCCATTATATTCTACAGGATGCAGTTTGTGGGCATTATTCATCATCTGTTTTGTATTGTATTTTCGCTATTCTTGTTTAATATTCTGTTAAAAAAGCTTATGCATTTTTAATTTCTCAAAGAATATATTTTTGTTCTTCAGGCTGGTTGAAATTTTAATTGTATATAATATTTTTGAGAAAAATTGAGTCGTAGATTTTGTGTAATCTTAAATATTCCCATCATTTGTATTTTACTGCTGTCAGTATTCAAGGTTAGAGATTGATCTAGGTTTTAAATGTGCAAATAGACATAGATGATCACTTTTATTGTACTCAAAATTGCACTCAAACTTGGTTTATTTATGTCAAAATAAATGCTTTCTTTACATCATGAATTAATTTTTTAGTTTTGCTCTGACATTTTGTTTGTAGAAATAATTTCTTTGCCTTTATTTGAACTCCAAGGTTTGCATGTAGCCTCTGTTCTTTCAATTTGTGTATTATTTTTTGCATCTTCTTTAAATATAAAGGAGTAAATGTAATGAAGTTTATTGTGGCAATTGGTTATTCATTTGAAGTGTTTAGTTAAGCCTAGAAACTAGAGCCTAAACTTTCATAAGACTAAAAACTAGAGGAACATATTTTGACTCTTTCTCTCTGTAAAATGTGCACTATAAAGTTCTTATAGTGCTTTTTTATATTTTTTTAACGTTTTCTCATTTGTGCACCTGCTTTAAATTCTGATGAGATATAAAAAATGGTTTGTAAGCAGACCGAATTTCATTTTACATCTTTGTCGTTTTTCTGAATCGGTTCATAAGGCTTCAAGTGCAAATGAAAGAAATGTACAAGTATATTGAGTAATTAATTAGTTAGTGAACATCTTAAATTTAATTTAGTATGTAAATTAATCAATGTGCATACATCTGAATCAAAAAACTGTAAATGGAATTGGTGTAAAGAATTTTCTAAATTAGATGTGAAATGGTGAATCATGTGGTGTATGAATTTACTTCCTCTTTATTCCCCCCCCCACAAGTTTAGTCAAATGTGACTGGAAATGTAATAAGTGATTCAGAGTGTAGTATTATCTAATGAATGTATATCATCATACTATAATTATATATTGTTGGATTTTAGTGACTCTGTGTATTTTTAATAATTAAAATTTTTATTTGTATTGTTTAGTTTGAACTAATGTTATCTGAAGATGGAAGTGGTCGAGGAGCTGCACTAGTAGCTGCTGTAGCTGTACGGTGCACTAAGTAAATTATACATGTATTATTTAAAAACATAGATTGTAATTTATGCCAAATGTCTATATTGAAAATGTCAGAGATACTCTTCTTTCAAATGAGGTGACCTTCTCTCTGAGAAGTCAGTATATTGTGATATTGTTTTAAGATAAGTAATATGTTTCTGGTGCTGCATACTTTTCATAGAATAATTGCAGCATTCATTGAAAAATGACTTTATGCTTTAAGCAGATGTTCTTTAATCTTAAAATTATTTTATTCTAATTCCATCCATGTCAGTTCAGTTATGTATAATAGTGTAATTTTTTTTAAATTGACAAATCATGTTGTTAATGTCTAATGTCTGACATCAGGTTTAATCAATTCATTGTCAAACTGCATTTATACAGTATTGGTGCTTTTACATGTGTAGCATTTAAAATATGCATTTTTTTTTTATTTTTAATCTTTGTATAGTATTCATATTTTTAATTTTACTCTGTAATGAGTTTATGGCATGAGACTTATTACTAGAGTTGCTATTTTAGGTATACAGTAATTATTTTATAAATAAATACTAGTTCTTTTATAAATCTTTAGAATCTCATTTTTAGCATAATTGTGATAGTTTGATTATATTTTGTTGTGATAACACATTGAAATATCTAGTAAACACTCAACTGGGTTGTAAGAAAATATTTTAGTCTTTCATAGAATTTTTTTATAGACCGAAAACCTATCAGTTAAATAAGCAGGTTTCTGATTAATTCTATAAATTTCATTTTTACTGCATTTTGAAAAAGAGGGCAATCTTATCTGTTTTTAGCTCATACTACTTGAAATGAATTTTTAGCTATATGTCTTAATTTTGTTATTGAAGTGAAGATGTTTTTAATATGAAACATTTCCATATTTATAGTGTTAGAATAAAATTGTTGTTTGCATAGCTATTGAGTGAAATGTTTGTATTATGAAATTTTAATGTTACGATAATTGCAAGAAAGGATCACTTAAATTACATTTCAAGTATGTAATAGACTTTGTGAAGGTCTTGAAATACAAGATGTGCCTCTTTATCTTGAATATGATGTATTTGAATGTATTGAAAAGTTGAATGAAATGCTTGTATAATAAAAGGTTTCGGTTGCCTTGTGAGTTTGCTTTTTATTTGAAAATTTGGAATGAACACATGGGCTGTGTTATTTAGTTTTTAACCACAGGGCTGTCTTATTTATTTTTAATGTCTGGGGGGGGGAATTTTTGTATGCAAAAATACTCATCCAATGGCAAAGTCCAGTGATAAACTTTTATAATATATAATGTGTTTCTTCCCATTTTAAATTAATTTTAAAACTAAATTAACTATGGAAGAAAATTTTGGCAGTAAAATTATTTTGCTTCATAATTTGCATCCAGGTAATTATTTTGAAACTCCATAATATTCCATTTTAAAGAAGTCTTTAATTTTATATGGAAATACCTGGGAAAGGTAAATCTACTGCTCATTATCATCATTTCCTGTTTTGCTTATGAAAGTCTTGAAAGGTGTAGAGGACAGGCAATGAAAAACGACATCATGATGCTGGTTGCTGCTCATCTAATGCAGCGTTGTGATTTTCTTATGCATGTTTTCATGTTCTGTAATAAGTTATGAAGGGCTTGTTTCTTTGTATTAAGTTCCTGTCCATGATTTAAACTGAAAATTACTGAAGCAGTATGTTTTAAACCTGTCAGCTGTCGCAGAAATACTTTCATAATTAAAATGCTGTGCTAAAAATTACAGTGCTGTCACTTATCAGAAGTATAGGGAAATTTGAATTTGTTAATGGTTAATGTTAATGGCCTGATGGTTAACACAAACATCTGATGCGGTGAAAGATAGCTTGTCCTACTATCAAATAGAACCTGATTCATAGGATTTTCTAATTTGAAAGTGTCATTTATTGTAGTGGTTTAAATCAGTGGTTGTCGACCTGTTTTACCCCATACATCCTTTTCATCATTTCTAAAAGATCATTTCCCATTCATCTTGTCCAAAACTCAAGAAATATATATGCATTCATTTATATTTGGATAGTTTTAAAGTGTTTTTTTTTTGAATAGCACAACAAAAAGTATAGAAAACGATGATAAATACCAAAACTTGGATAAAAGTAATTTTTTATGTTCATAAACTAAAACTAAATACTTCAACAGCTAAATATAAGGCTGATTGTAGTATTTCACTCCTCCTTCCTATTTTAAATGTTACAAAAAGTTAACTGAAAAGTCTTGTCATTAAAATGTGTTTAGTGATTAGCCTAGTTCTTATAGTTTATTGATGGCACACCACTGCAAAAGGATGCATGCAAATATAAGTGACAGTAAGAAGGAAATTGCAGCATATCACCAAATTTTATTAGCATGCAGATTGTGTTCAGTGCAAAGTTAAGTTTTATAATGTGTTTCTTCTCATTTTAATTTATTTTAAAACTACATTAACTATGGAAGAAAATTTTGGCAGTAAAATTATTTTGCTTCATAATTTGCATCCAGGTAATTATTTTGAAACTCCATAATATTCCATTTTAAAGAAGTCTTTTAATTTTATATGGAAATACCTGGGAAAGGTAAATCTACTGCTCATTATCATTTCCTGTTTCACTTATGAAAGTCTTGAAAGGTGTAGAGGACAGGCAATGAAAAACGACATCATGATGCTGAATTTAAAGATTTTCTGTTCAAAGTCAATTTCTGGTTAGACTGGGTTGAATATACCTGGTATAGCTTTGCCAACAATTCAGAAAGGCTGTTCATCTACACTAAATGGTGGTAGTGGTACACAACATCAACCTTTTATAAATCTGAGAAATAACACTGAGGCCTGAAGCTAGAAATTATTATTTTACTGCAGTTTAAAAAACTTGTATTTTACTGTATTGTTCAAATTCTTCCTTTGATTGCTTTCTGATAGATCATCTGATATTGTACTCTTGCACAATGTGCCTTCTCAGAAATAAAATTAGAATTGATAATAAAGCTTAATTTTTTAACTTTACTAATTAGTTTGCTAAAGTGATATTGCTGAAATATTAAACAAGGGCATACTAAATAACTTTGAAAATTGTGTAATTTCATTGGGTTTTTTCTGCGCCTCTAAATCAATAATTGCTATTTGAAAAATCAAGAAAGCATAGCATAGTTTCTTTAATCAAATATTAAAAATCATTGATTTTTCCCCCAGGAAGTAATTCTTAGTATTAATGCATAAGATATACACATACTTTTAAAATCTAATTTGCTGCTTATAAATATTTGTAAGCTTTGTTAAAGTAATTGGTCATTCATGTAAGGGTCCAATCCCATAAAAACTGGTTAATTGAGAATCTACTGTGTTTGATGCTGAACTTTACATATAAATCTGTAAGGGTCAGCATTATATAATGATCTTTGTTTCATGTGCACCCCTATATATAGTATATAAAATAGGGAAACATCGGCAGTATGGAATCATGAAATTGTTCAGCAGTGATGCATCCAGTTAATCAAGGGTGCATTGGGTAGTGATTTCCCTTGATGAATAGCATTGTACCTTTTCATTGAACTGGCATTTTGGAAATTACTTAGAAAAGGAGGTTGTTGCCGGTCTAGAGTATTCAGCTCTCAACCAGTTCAGAACTCATTTATGTGCATGGGACATATTCAAGAAGCATTTTATAGAATGTCAAGTATTTCCTAGAACACTTCTGCACTTTCAGGCAACACTGATGCAAAATCTGAACTCCCCTCCCTATGGCCAAATGCTTGAAAACAATTTATTGTAAACAGCTGAATTCATTGGTCATTTATGCATCTTATCAGCAAGAATGTTGCCCAGGGTTCACAAGTCAATGAGTAGACTTACCTAAAAGGAGAATACACATAATCTACCAAGCCTTACACAAGTCGAGCCCACAACCTTGCTTTCAGACTAAGTTTGGCTTAAATAAAAACTATACCATTCAAAGCAGCATAGTAAAATTTTAAACCTAAAAAATTAATTTGATTATGAGTATGCTATTTTAGCAGGCTTTATGTACTCGACTAAAACCTCTTTTCATTCTAAAATATTTATTCTTTGCATTTAATCTGTGTGCTTAGTTGCAGGAAATTATTTTTCTTTATAGTACATGCTGTTTTTTTTAAAATATTTATTCAACATATTTCATGTTTAAAACATTTTTATTATCATTCTAAAAGAAGAAAGTTTGAAACTTAATGTTGCCCATAATTTTAAATATGCCTTATTGCTGTGATCCTGATTGGAAATTCTTACAGTTCTCAGCTCTTAAGTCTCCTATAAGAATGCCTTATCTGTCATGCAGAAGTAGGAGATTTTGAATTGCGTAGTCATTGTTAAATATAGCAGCACTGTGGGGCTATGATAATGTAGCATATACAATGCAATTTTAGCTGTGAGGGAATGGGTGGAAAGATTTGAAGCAGTGGGGGTCAACATTGAACTTGAAACATGTAGGGCCAATAAAAATTTTACTGATTTCAGAGCATACATGCATAGCAGGAAACCGATCTCGGTAATCGGCAAGCATTTGCTGAAACTTTTTAGCCAAATTTAACAAAGATCCAAAATTCCTTAACTTGTGGGTGTCGTAAAGCTGCAATATGTGAATAGATTGTATCCATTACTGCGGATGTAATGCAGAAAGTTAAGAAACATCCTTATGCGAATCCAGGAATGTTGCCTCGTTAAGGGATGCCATTTAGAAGATCTTATTTCCAAATCATGAGTTGTTTTTTGTTTAAATGTTAATGTCATACTTGTACGCTCTGATATTGAGAATTGCATAAGAATGTGTATAATATTACTTTACACCATTTTCAAAACATTGCACACCACTCTATAATAAATCAGAATTTGCTAGTTGTTTGGCTATACTCTGAATATCAATTGATTTGTGATCAGAACAAATTGTCATGGCTTAACGTTCCAGTAATTGTATTCCAAAACCCACTTCCTTTGATTTCTTCATTGATTAATTTGTTAATATGCAGCATTTGAATGATTCTTTGGATATATGTAGCCTAATTCTTGAAGGTGGCAGCAAGTGGTTTGTATAAAAGTAGTACTGTTTCTGATGTAAACCTTGATTTTAGTTCTTGTGGCATTCTTTCAACAATTCTGGCAAGCAGTTAGTGTAAATAATTGTTCTACATTCTGGTTTGTTATTCATTTATGGACTTGTGCACTACCCAACAATGAAAATGTAACAACGAGAAGGAGGTTGAAAATGCAACACCAGGAAGGAGTGGCCAGAAAGGGATGAAACTTGGCAGAGAGAGACGGCAACAAACAATAAGTGATCTTTATTTTGAAATGATATACATAATACAGAGCAAGAACTGTGTTAGCTCAGTAAGTTGTAGGACCACCTTGGATGGTGATACACAAAGCAACAGGTCTAGGTACAAAGTCAGCGAGACTACGGATGGTGTCCTGAGTAATGGCTCTCTATTCCCTGTCAACCATTTACCATAGTTTGTCTCCTGAACGATCTGGAGAGTACGGTAGCCAAGGCAGCATCTGCACACCTTGGAGAGTATGTTGGCTGATGTGTGCAATGTGTGGTTGGGCATTATCCTGCTGATAAAAGGGTATTTAGGGAAGTGTCACCGGCCACAGCACATCATCTACGTATCGTTGGGCCATCGTAGTGCCCTGAATACAAACTAGAGATGATGACTTGGAATCATATGCAATTGCACCCCAAACCATGATGACGCGTTGTCACGTACCACAATTGCTGCCGAATTGGACCTGTCTCTGCATCGACGGCACACTTCTTGCACAGCAACTATCATTGAAGATACAGAAGCATGACTCCTCCCTGAGAACACAACCCCGGGCCATTTTATTGTCCACATTGTTTGAGCTCGGCACTATTGCAGATGTTGAGATCTGTGATGTAGGGTCAATGGCAGTCTTCTTAATGGATACCACAAGTGCAGGCTATTAGCCACCAATCGATGGCAAATGGTTCAAGTTCATATGGGAACATACAGGGTGTCTTGAACATGCTGCAGAATGGAGGTAGAAGTGGCTTGTGGGTGCACTACTACTTGTCAGTGGATGTGTTGATCCAAGTGTGCTGACATCACTTTGGCTGCACTGGCATCCC